ACTGAGCCACCCAGGCGCCTCTTCTTTAGTTTTTTTTAAAAAGTGGTTATTTTCATAAAAATAAAATATGATCATTTAAAAAAATCTCAACAGTGCAGCTGCAGAAAAAGCCACTCAGAATCCCAGGAGTTACTTAAGGTGGCAAGGGGTTGTGGAGCAGTAGATGTTACAGATAGATGTAATGTTTAGCCAAGAGACAGTATCCCAAACATCTTAACCCATTCTTGGGAGCAGTTTGCAGTGAAATATGCCTGATCCTAACTTAATTTACTTCAAAGGAATTGGTAAACTCATTATCTACCTTTGACTCTCACAAACTATTGGTTTGTCTTATCTTTGTCTTATCTATCTTTTATGAAACTGACTCCCTCATTTCATAGTATCTAAAGGTCTTAGTATTTTAAATTATATCTCAAGGTAATCATACAATTGAGTAAAGGAAGTTTCTCTTTATAGAAGTATTCCACCTAAAAAATGAGCTAGGAATGACAGAATTAAATATTAGCATTTTGTAGCTCCTATTGAATTAATGGATCCATGTAAAGTTCATCATTGGCTACCATCACACAAAACAAGAGATGGAAGACTATTATGTACCTCTTGGTGGAGCACAACACTGCTATAAAATAGGCTTGCCTCCCACCCACCCCCTGATTAAGGAAATACAAAGCACAGACAAGCATTATTAAATGACTCCATGAGGGTACAATGAACAAAATCCACACTGGGGACAACTCTATAGGACAAAAGACCATTTTCTTCAATAACAATAAAAAAAGAGGGACACCTGGGTGGCTCAGTGGATGAAGTGTCTGACTCTTGATTTCAGCTCAGGTCATGATCTCAAGGTCTTCAGATGGAGCCCTATGTCTGGCTCTGTGCTCAGCTGGGAGTCTGCTTGAGATTCTCCCTCTCCCTCTGCCCCTCCCCTGATGCACACACATTCTTTTTCTCTCTCTAAAATACATAAATAAATCTTGGGCCGCCTGAGTGGCTCAGGTTAAGCGACTGCTTTCGGCTCGGGTCATGATCCCAGGGTCCTGGGATGGAGCCCCACGTTGGGCTCTCTGCTCAGCAGGGAGCCTGCTACGCCCTCTCCCTTTGGCTCTGCCTACTTGTGCTTGCAGGCTCTCTCTCTCTCTGTCAGATAAAAATATTTTTTTAAAAAAAGAGTTAACTATTTGGTCTTCAGAGTGTGGAAGTCAGGCATTCCAGGCACAGAGGTATGAAACTATATGGTGCATAAAAGAACTGCAAAGAACTAAATCTACCTTATAGATTAGGTAATAAATAGCCTACATAAGAACTTATGTTGGTATATAAGATGTGAGGTGGTCATTGTGGATGTGATTGGAGAGGTCAGGAGAAACCAGACCATTAAGAGAACTAGGTGTCACTCTGAAAAATCTGAAATCATAGGTGATGAAAAGCCACCAAAGGGTCTTGAAAAGGCACTCACATGTTCAGATTTATAATTGAAGTAGATTATTGTGGGGCTCAAAGAGAACAGATTTGAGCAGAAAAGACCCCTAAAAACGCTTCCTTATCAAAAGCAATTAGAGGACTGTTAATAAGATATCAGAGGTACCCACTCTGAATAGGAAAACCATAGCAGCCCACCAGGTGGGAAGTTAAGTTGTTTTCTGTTTGTTTTTTTTTTAAGATTATTTATTTATTTATTTGACAGAGAGAGACACAGTGAGAGAGGGAACACAAGCAGGGGGAGTGGGAGAGGGAGAAGCAGGCTTCCTGCTGAGCAGG